GCATGTATTTGAGAGACCTAGGAATGGATGTTCCAACAGTCTTGTTTCTTCTTGATCTCTACAGTCATTCATGGCAACACATTTCTGCTCCACATGGCACTTACCATAATCAAATCAGGTAGCCGACAATTAGGCAAATTAGAGACGAGGGGAAAGTCAGAGAGTGCAAGGCTGTGTGGCTACGCTTCTTCTGACACTCTCTGTCTCTGTTTGGCTCTCGAAAGTCTGTGCCCGCAATGAACTTAAACAGGGAGAATGTGGTACCAAATGAGGTCCTTTTTTTAGCAATGAATATCTGACCTTCTTTCTTCCTCATTAAGCCACATATTTCCTCAAGTCTCTACTGCATGAGTCACTGCTTTTCTGCTGTACATAATTTACGACAGCAGATGAGAGAACAGTACGCCAGAGGGGGCGGAAAGTACAGTCAGGTCTAAAAGGAGAGGCAGCTGAGAAGTTTGCATTTCCTATTCTCTTGTGAATTTAAATACAAATCTTGCCAGTTTACTCATTATAATCTTGGGGGAACGGTTGTGGGGGGGGTCAAGGAGGAGAAGCACAGGACTCGCCATCATCTTTGACTGTTGAACTTTCCAGTCAGATTGGCAACGTTGCAGACCCATGGCTCACACCATGTGGTTCCCTTTCCTGCCTCTTCCAGCCTTATCTTTTCTTTTATCAGGCACACACTCATAAATGCCTGGAATAAATCGCCTGTGGAGTGTTATTCTCCCAAGGAACATTTTCATTTGCGTTAAGTGCAGAATATCAATTTTTACTCTTCTTTGGGCTTATGTTGCTATTAAATTTTCATAAGGTACAGAATTTCATGGCAAAATGCAGAGACTCTGCTAGGATCGATGCGTTACCAAGAATATGGAAAAAAGCCTAATTATGTGATCCTTTCTCCATTTTTCCTCAGACTCATTTCCAATAAATGGAAGCTAGATGTTCGATTCAGGAGAAAGAGTGCCAGCATGTCTGCTTCTGCTTTAAAACTGTCCTGGGGAGAAACAGACCTTCAATTTCTCCGCGGAGGATGGAAACCGCTGAGCCAAGGCACACTGTGCTGCTTTTAAAGAAAGCCACTCAGGAAGACTTGGTATTATTTTAAAATAAAAGCTTATCAAACAGCAGGAGGAAAACAACAGCACAGCCTCTGACTTATTTCTCTCCTGTCACAAACACACACAAAGAGGACATCAGGACTCAGTTTATTCTTTGGAAACTAAAATGGGATTGGAATCCAGATTCTAGTTCTGGCTCTCTGGCTGCCTATCCTTCACATTGATTGCGTACTTACGAAGAGACAGGCCTTGTGCTGCTTGCTTTAAGGGGATATATGATTTTATTTAATTTTCCCCATATTCTTATTAATAGTTACTAGTAATCCTATCTCACAGATAAAAAAGTGAAGGCTGAACAGTAGTTACTCTAAATAGTGATTATCTAAGACACACAGAACTTTACATACATTAATTCATATCATTGTCATGATAGTCCTGTGCCCATTTTGCAGATGGGAAAACTGAGGCACAGAGAAGTTCAGTAACTTGCCATGGTCACACACCTAGCAAGTGACTGAGATGGGATTTGAATCCAGATAACCTGGCTCTATGTTTAACCACAATCTATATTAACTCTTCAAATTAACTCATTAAAAAACATCGCAGTGTAACTACATACTATGCTTTACATAGTCACTGCTTCCTATGTTTGACAATACCATTCCTCTTTGAAATATGTACCATGTAGCCTTGGAAAGACAATGACTGAATAACCATTAGAACATCTGACAACTATTAGAGAATTATTTTAGACAACATCACGCCCAAAAGTCTCATTTTAAAGAAAAGGAAACTGAGGCTCAGAGAGGTTAGGGAACACATCCAAGTTTGCACAGCAGGTTGGTGGATCAGGGCTAAGTTTTAACCCACTCCATCCCCAAACCTCAATACAGTGTTGCTGAGATCAGATTTCAGGGGAGTTTTTAGGCCTAGGACATTTTTAGAGGATGGTTTTTGTGGAATAGAGACAGAGATTTTTGAGTTGAACTATGGAAGAGAGTCAGTGAGGCTAAAGAGAGAGGAGAGTGCCTGCATTTTATCTGCTCTCTTCTCGTGAGATACTGCCCATCTCTGCTCTCTCTTGTTCTTCCTCTTCCTCCCTCTTGAACCAGCTTCCCACAAGCATTTCCTGTCTTAGCGAGCAGCACCGCCTTCTATCCAGCAGCTCCAGCCAGAGGCACAGATGATCCTCCTTGCTCCCGCCCCCACGCTCCACAGTCAAGTTGCAGCTGATCCAGTGGATTCTACCTCCTACCTCTCAGATCTTCTCTCTAGCCATCCCACAGTCACGATCCTGGCCCAAACTACCATCACCTGTCACCTGAACTGCCTTGACAACTTCCTAATTGACACCCTCATGTCCCATTTTTGCCACCCACTCCAATCCATTTGTAATCTTTTGAAAATGCAGGTATGACCATATATTGCCACCACTTAAAACTCTTCAGTAATGTACATTACTCTCAGGATAAAATCTGAATTCCTTAACCTCACTTACAAGCTAACTACTCCTGTGAGAGTGGAGAAGAGGAGATGGGTCATGCAGATGCTAAACCAACGGCATCGATGATTGATTTATTGGAGGAGAGAGACAAAGGAGCCATCTGGGAGATGACATCCAGGAGTCTGGTTTGAAGGACTCACCACCCAGGCAGAGAAGAGACAAAGTGCTCACGCACTGAGGTTAAGCTTCAGAAGGCAGAGACCCAGACCATGCCCAGAGAAACTGATACAGGAACAACGATGACGGCAGCTGGGTGTGAGCTTATTAATTTAGCTACTCAATGTCTGTCCCAAGAGCCCTCTACATTCACAATCACTGTGAGGCCTCACTGAAGAGCTCTATTTTCTTCTGGGACTAAGGGCCCAGATATCTTAAGTCTTAAAATAATGTATTATGCATATAGTGACTGACTGACAGGGGTGGCGCAGAGTTGCCTTTACACGGCATAGTAGGAACGAGAACAAGGTGAGTTTTCTCAGCTGACTCCACCAGCCCAAGGGAGCAGCCTTGACGGACACAGAAGACAAATACTAAAGCCTTGATGTATGCAATCTTTGCGGTGGCTTCCTCTGGGGATCCTCAAGATGGATAGAGAACTATCCCCTTATTATATTTAGTTTTAGAAGATTTAACTCTTTTTTGATCATAATGTCATTGGATTTGGACTCTTTCCAGCCTTCTCAAAAGAGAAGGGGGTGAAGGATTCCATGATTCAAAGGCAGCTTCTCTTCTTTTTACCTAAGTCAACTAAAGAATCAGAAGCTTCCAGAAGTTTAGAGCTAGAGAGATCTCAAATATCCCTGCCCCGATGATTTCATTTCATGGATGTCATACATGTCTTGTCAATGGCACAAAACTAGTCAGTTCCTGAGGCACCATTAATACTCAGTTGTTCTGATTTATACGTTGGGGCTTTTTCCACATTCACAAGCCATTACAAAGACCTCTTAGATATGAAATATATGTGTTTTTCAGCAATGTTTTAAACATTATACTTGATGTGTGAGCAAACAGCATAACAAAGACTGTATTTTAAAATTGTGCGATGAAACCACAGATTCTCAAAACTTTCATGAAGCTTGCTCCCAAAGGGATATTTAACTGTTTGGGGTAATGTGTACTTTTATATATTTTTACGATGGAGGGGGAAGAGACTGAAGAGAGAGAAAGAAAGTAATAGTGAGGGATCTTCTCTCCTTGACTCCTCTGCCAAGGGTCCTGGACTCCCGGGAGTCCGTCCAGCCTTCTTGAGGAAGGCCATCCACACAAAGATGAATAATACATGAGTTTGCCCTGGAGAGCTTAAAATCCAGTAGGGAATGTAGACAGATGGACAAATAGCTATACCGGATCCAATGGGATTGGTGTTAGAGCAGCAGCCTTAACTCATTTGGGAGGCGGATAATGGAGAACCAATTCTGACGGGAAGAAGAAAACCAAGGCGGCAGGGGAGGAGGCGGCATTTGAGCTGTGCCTTGAAAGATGGGCAGGATATCAAGGGGTGGAGAAGAGTGAGAAAAAAAGCAGTGTAGGCCACAGACGCACATGAGCAAAAGCAGTGGGAGGAAATGACGGGTATGTTTTGAATTGTGTGAAAGAAGGAGGCAAGGTTGGGAGCAGGGGTGCAGCCTGAAAAGGTGGGGCTGAGGGGAGGCCCCACATCTGGGGTTAGAACAGGCACTTCTAGTTGCACTAATGAAGGGGAACTTGTTCTGGCATCCTTGGGTGTTCTGCCTCCTCTGCCTCCGGAGTTGATCATTCTCGCGTTTGCTCCCTTCACCACAGCTGGCCTGACAAGGAAGTATCAAAGATGCTCGTTCAGGGGCCGGCCCGGTGGTGCAGCGGTTAAGTGCGCACGTTCCACTTCAGCGGCCCGGGGTTCGTCAGTTTGGATCCCAGGTGTGGACATCGCACCGCTTGACACGCCATGCTGTGGTAGGTGTCCCACATATAAAGTAGAGGAAGATGGACACGGATGTTAGCTCAGGGCCAGTCTTCCTCAGCAAAAAGAGGAGGATTGGCAGCAGATGTTAGCTCAGGGCTAATCTTTCTCAAAAAAAAAAAAAAAAAAAAAAGAAAGATCCTCGTTCATACCACAGGGTGTTGCCATGTGAAGGAGTCAGGGTACGGTAATATCTGGAGAGATCAGCAGCTGCCCACTTAGAGCCTCAGAGAGGGGCGATCAGCCTTCATGAAGTCATCGTGTTCCAAGGGGTAGTGGTGAGCTCCCAAGCCTAATGGAGAAGCAAGACACCAAGGGAAGACCTGTCTCCTGAAACTATCTCGGATCGAGCAAGATCTCAACAGAAAGGTAGCTATAAATCAGAAAGGAAATACGTTAATGTAAGAAGAGGAGGAAAAACTGCCAAGAAAACAAAACATTTAGGTTAACTGAGCGACATATTTAAAACTGAAATACACTTTTACAATACAAAAATATAAGCATTTATTGAGTGCTTATTGTATACCAGACATTGTGCTAAATGTTTTGGGGGCATTTTCCCCTACACGCCGAGTAAGCCAAATTATAATCAGAAATTTGCTTGGTGAGAGTAGAATCTGAATGAAGTGAGTTAGTTAGTTGGCTGATGTCAATGGTTAGTGTCATTGAGGGATGATAACCAATTCATCCTGGTTTGCTGGAAACTTGCCCAATTTTAGCACTGAAAGTTGCACATCCTGGGAACCTGGGATGGTTGATCACCCTACATCAGGTTACAATGGTCCCGGAGTTTCTCTCTCCTCCTTTTGGAGTTTAATTGTAGAGAGCACTGGACATCTGTTTCATCAAGGTACGTTCTCTCCTGGATAGCGTTGGATGAACACTGGCAAATTCCAATTTGTATATCTTACAGTGCTTTCCAAGTATCCCATGCTTTCTTCCTATATCTCATGCCAAGGATTCATCCTGAGATGGTGAAGCAGAACTACAGATTGGCTCGCTCAGTCCCATTCCCCCTTCCACTGTGCCTTCCTGCTCTGCAGTGGCAGAAAGCTATAAGCAGCCCGCAGACTCTCCTACAGCTAGAGCTGTTCGTGTGACTTAGTGTCTGCCAAGCAGGTGCCCTGATGTGAGTCTTGAAGGAGCGAGTGGGTAAAGCAAGTTGTTGGCCTTGTGCAGGGAAGGTGGACCTTCTGACAAGCTGAGTGGCTTTCATTCTTCTAGAGCCAGCAAGGGCAGGGCAGTTTAGACTCAGCAGCTTCCTGATCATGGCGGAGGCATAGGGAGGTTCTCGGGTCCTGCTGGCAACAGCTCCCTCAGCAGGCCAGCTCATTGGAGAAGCTCAGGCTACACTGCACCAGCAGCCCTCCCAGTGGTTTTACGAGCTGTTAGTAACCATTCATAAGTCTCCTTTTGCATAAATTAGCCAGAGGCTCCTGTTATTTACAACAGAAACATTCTGATACAGATGGTAAACAGGATGCCATCACCAACAGCTTAATAGTGGCTTCCTGGAATGCTGCATTAAAGAGAATTCTGAGGCCTCCTCCAGGCTCAGGGAGCAAGCTGTTCTGATGGATTGAAAATCTCTGTTATGTTACCGGAGAGAGACTAATCGCTGTTGTGCCAGATTTCCACTGGCTGTGGTTAAGACTATTGACAAAACCCTGTCTTTCTTCTTTTGTTTTACAGCCACATTGTCATTTCTAAGGCATCTTTTGCCAACGCATGGATTTTGTGAGTTTAACTCTGGAAATGAGAAATTTTAGACATATTTCTTTAATCTTAATTTTAGAAATATAAGCTATAATTGTCTTTGAGATCAAGGGTTGAGTAATTGTTGATACAAGTTCTTGAAGAATGTAAATACTCTGTTGAACATCTCTTGCTCAGCAAAGATAAAGAAAAGATGATTAAAGAATATTTACATTCTAGTGAGTATTACACATTCTCTATATATATCAGTATATTACAGTATGTATATATTACATCTAAGGAGTATTGTAAACAAAGTGACTAGAGAGGAGGAGTGCAGGTCTTATTCAAATTTAAATCTATATATATTTGATTTCTTATAATCATTCTTAAAACTTCCCTTTACTATTCAATAGTTTAGAATAAAATTGTGTTTAATCCTCTATAAGGGTCTAATAGGCGCTTGTAATAGGAAGTTACATTTGTTCCATTGGCTGTAGAATATGACTTATAGGAAACTGAATCTTCTCAGACTGTAAATGAAGCTATCAGCCTTCCGTTATTTTCTCTTCCACTTATATATAGAGCTCAGGTTCTCTTGGTAGACAGAGCACTTTGGCTGGCTCTTCTTACAGCTGTAGAAAGAAAATAAAGCCACTCTGACTTAATCAAACAGAACACAAAGCATAATTTTCTGACAGTCCTTAAGAGTTTGGGGTTCCTCATTGTCTCTCCCTTGTACAACCTCCACCTGAAAAGGCTCATCTCTTTTGTGGGATTTTCTCTTCTGGGGGATTTTCATTTTCATACTCAGAGGGCACAAAGGTGAAGCTGTAGAAGAGGTGTTATAGGCCATCCAGCTGCTAACATCACGTCACCCAGGCATGGCCTATTCTGGCACCCTCGAGTCTATCCTGGGTGAAGCCCGTGTGCATCCAACCTAGGACACGAGGATGGGAAAGGGAACTTTTGGAGTTGGTAAAAACTGAAAACAAATTCAATTTTTCTCATTTCATCAAGAGCAGGGGTCCACCCTAACAATCTTCTAGTTGTAAGCAATAGAACTCCACTATAAACATAATCTGGGTTTTTTACTTTTTTCTTTAAAGCGGGCCTTTATTATAAGATGATAGGGCAAACGTTTCAAGCAGGCGTCTCAGGGAAAGGACCGCCACTGGGAACCTGGGCAGCAATCGGTCAGCCTCTGCCTGGCTTTCACTTGCTCTCAGGAGTCATAAAAGCTAACCTGGGCTTCTGAGCGCTCAGCTGCCCTCCTGGCCTTGTGGGCAGTATGTGGCTCTGGAGCTAGAGCAGAGGACTGAATTCTGACTGCGCCCTTTCAAACTGTGTGACCTTGGATAATTTACCAAACCACTTGAGACCTGAGTGTCCTCGACTTTCGATGAGAACAGCTATCATTCCTACCCCACAGGGTTGTGGTGAGGATCAGATGAGCTCATCCATGTGAAAACAGTGCCTGGTGCATAGCCAGCATTTAATATTTATTTGCTATTAATCTGGTTATATACTCTTCTTTGTCTCTGTGGATTGCTTTTCTCTGCTTCACTGGGCCTGTGTCCAGGCCTGGCCATCCCACAACGGCAACCTCATCTCCAAGTCCACAACACCCCCAGCCAGCCCAACAGCCAGACTGCATGTGATTCTCTCAGTTCCCAAACCAAAATCTCAGGGGAAAGAATCTCCTTGGCTAGGTTGTGGTCATGGAAGGAGATGAACTCAGCTGTGGAGATGGAAGTGTGTGTGGGGGGAAGTGGAAGTGGGGGTGGTTAGAGGGACGGGGAGTAGAGGTGACCGTGGAAATTCTGAAAGAAAGAAAGGGTGTCTTATGGCTGATTAATCCTCCTCAACGGGGTGAGTCCAGCAACCCTACATTTTGTAGGCTTTGGGGACATCTTTGATGAGCTCTATTGGTGCCCATCCCAGATACCTTGCATCCTTTTGCCATATCTCTGTGTGGCTTCCCCCAGCTCCTCTGGGTGTCTTTGCTCCTAACTGTCCTTGATCCACTGAGTCACTTTGCTCACAAGTACGGAGAGCCAGAAAGGCCTGGAAGTTTATGTCCTCCCTTCCTTCAGGGTGGCCCTTAACAAGGGACTACCACCTGCTGGTGAGGGAGTCTGAATGCCCAGCCCCCTTGCCCTGAGCGAGGACACTCTCTGAGGCATCATTTACCCTGTAGAGCTCCCCGGAGGGATCAGGCCGAGGTGGGGACTTCCCTGAGATGGCACTTTGCTTGGGTTCTTCCCCTTCTCTGTCGGGCTCCCCGACCCTCCTGGCTTCCCCGGGAGTATTTCCTTAATAAATCACTTACCCATGAATCCTGCTCCCAGGGTCTGTTTCTGGAGCTCAATTTAAAACAATCCCACGGATCAAAAAATGAGCCTGAACTCATTTGTGAGCCATTAATGATCGTAATTGATGTCCACGTGAGAGTCTTCCAGTCCTCCGAGATCTGATTTCGTTTCTCACCCTTGCATTCTTCGATGGGTCCCACCCACCGACAGGCTGATCTCTCTGCCTTCAGAAAATGATCTTCTTTCAAAGAAAACAAGGAAGACAGCCACTCTTATAAGAAAAAAAATGAAGACTGGTCTGGTATGTGACCCGATCATTTTTGCTGCCCTGCTTCCCCACACCAGCTGGAAGAGGAGTTTTAACTTTCAGAAAAATAGACTCTTCCTGCCGAGTCCAGCTGCCTGTCTAAAACCTAAACATGGGAAGGCCAGTAAACGGAGGCAGGATCAGAGATGACATTTCTAGGACAAGCTGCCACCTTAGCTGATTCTCACAGAGTCATACTCCTAATTCTTATTGTGGGGGTTGTTATTGCTGATTACAAGGACGAGCACTTTAGTGGATTTCAACGAGAAATGTTCTCACATTGAGAGATCACACTGGGCTGGCTCTTTCCTCCTGCCTGAGGCCAACCAAGGAGCTCCTCTGGGCCGACAGGGTCAATCCTTTGAGCTCAGTGTCAGATGAGACAGCCAACGGTGGAGTGGAATTTGAGTGTCTCTAGTTCCTAACCCCACTTCAAAATATTCTGGCCACTTCAGCTTGACACTGATGACTGACATTCTACCACACAAATTCATCTCTTAGGGCTGAAAAGATGTCTGTTGTTAAAATGTAAACCTTTCGGGAAGGATAGCACATTTCTTTATTGTACTAACCAAGACTCTTTGGGTTGCAAGTGACAACTCAAAATGGCATCAGCATGAAACAGAATTTGATTAGCTCAGTAATCAGAGTAGACTGGCTTCAAGCCCAGCTAGATAAGTGCCAAAACAATGTCAGCAGGAAACTATCATTTTTCCATTCCTCACCTTTGCTTTCCTCTGTGTCGGCTTCATTCTCAGGCGGGAAAGACGGCCTCCAGCAGCTCCCTACTCCCTTACCAATCCCAAAGGAAGAAGAGCCTGTTGCCTACTATCCCAGCCGGAGTCTCAGGACTGCTTCTCATTGGCTCAAATTGAGTCACGTGGTGTCCATGAACCAATCACTGTGACTCTGACTGAAGATGCCTCAGTCATGTGCCATTGGCTGGAGTGGGGAAGAGGGCTTAGCCCCACCCAAAGAGTGGGAGGGAGTGGTTCAACCAAGAAAACATTAAGTGTTCTCGCCAAGAGAAGAGAGGATGGGTAATACGAAAGTAAACTGACACCTGTCCGCCACACTTATTATTAGTTTTCATACCTCCATGGTAATAACTGGCAGAGAGCAAGCAGTTCCCTACAATATGAGGCATAGCAGATATTGTAAAGACAAGTCCAGAGCGAGGGCCACCGTATTGGGAACCCTTATGGGGGTGGGGAGCACTGCCTTAGGTAGGGCTGTTTGAGGAGCTAGGGGGCTACCCAGGGGTCCTGAGATCTTAATAATACACTCTGAGAGGCTGAGAAAATTTCAAGACCAAGCAAAACGTAGCAATAGAATTCTAGGTAGCTTGACAGGGATTGGCAGGGGGCCAGCATGGCAGCTCAGAGTTCATACCAATAGGCTCCCCCTGACTCGGAAGCTCTGCCTTCAGCCTTGTTAACAGGAATGAAATAATCTATTAAGAGTTTCTGTATCATGATCCGAGGATATTTCATCATGCTTCATGTGGTGTACTGGTGCCTGGCAGGGACCGCTGGGATAAAACAGGAAGGGCATTCTGTCTTATCTGCTGGACTATCCCATCATCTCCTTTTGTTGTTCCCACAAAGGGATAATAATGTGACTAACAGGCAGCTAAGATTTACCAAACAGTATGACAACTCCATGAGGTCCAGCCTAGCATTCCAGTCTACAGATGAGGAAACAGAGCTTGGAGAAAGGTGAAGTGATATGCCAGCCAGTGAGAGTTGGGGCCAAGATAGAGACCCCAGTCATGGGACTCCACAGCCTACATCTTTTCTTTTTTTTTAGCCATTTTTTTTCTTAAAGATTGGCACCTGAGCTAGCAACTGTTGCTGATCTACATTTTTTCTTTTCTTTCTGCTTTTTCTCCCCGAATCCCCCCAGTACATAGTTGTATATTTCAGTTGTGGGTCCTTCTAGTTGTGGCATGTGGGATGCCACCTCAGCATGGCTTGATGAGCGGTGCCATGTCCCCGCCCAGGATCCGAACCAGTGAAACCCTGGGTCACTGCGGTGGAATGCGCGAACTTAACAACACGGCCACGGGGCTGGCCTCTAAAGCTTACATCCTTAAATGCCATGCCACAGCTGAGAAGCAGAAACCAGGAAGAGTTGGGGAAGTATGGAAGGAAGAATTATAAGGAGAAGAGATTAAAGTTTAAAGCAATCAGCCATCAGGGCAGGGAAAAAAATCCAGGAATACAAGAAGTGGCTGCTGACAGTCTGTGAACAGTGGCAAAGAGCCAACAGTTTCTGAGAACATGCTGCCCTTTATTTATTAAGGATGATTCCACTATGGGTAAGGTGACCACATAATTGATTGTGTAAATCAAGACCTTTTGAGAGTGAGAGGGCACTGTTAATAATTATACCAGGAAACTGTAATAAATCAAGACTGCCTCGGGCAAACCAGGGCACAGGGTCACCCTAACTGGATCTACTAACTGTGGAGCCTGGCTTCAGTCTGATAGCGGTGGTGGATCTGTGTGGATTCATGCGCAGCCCCTCAGCGCCACCATCCATCATCCTTCTGTGGGTTGCGGGATGGCCAGTGAAGGATGTATGAACTGGCCTTAATCTTTGTAGCCCTGTTCTCTACCTAACCGAGTTGATCTCCAGACATAGTATAGTCAGGGGACAAAAGACACAGTTTAAATCACTAACATTTAATTAAACCAACAATTAACTTAAGCAAGGCCGTATAGCAGAGTTGTTGATGGATTTCACTTTGAGGTTTAGATCTCAGCTATGTGACCTCAGACAAGATTTCTTTGGGTCTCAGTTTCCTGCTCTGTAAAATGAGGACAAGGACATCCACTGTCTGAGCTCTTACTTTGCCTCTGGCACTGGGCTAAGCTCTTTACATGGATTATTTAATTCCATGTCATTACAATCTTACGAGGCAGGTATTATTATTAACTCCATTGTTTAGAGCAGAGCCCTGCAGCTCAGTGAAATAACTTACTCCAGGTCATACAATTAATAAATATCTATCTTATGGGCATTGTTTTTGGTGATTAAATGAAACAACGCTTATTCAAATCTTAGCATATTAACTGAAAGCCAATAGAAAGCCCTGGATAAATGTTAGTCCTTGATGATGATAATTTGATACTCAGTACTATCATCTCACATCTGTAATTTAGAAGGTACTAATCTGGATCACATTTCTAACCCACCAAATGGCAGGAGGATCATCTGAATAAAAACCTTTAGTACTGCTTAAAATCCTAAGAGGACAGCATTGTTGACATGACCCATCTCAGAGAGCCCCAAGAATCTGAAACATCCACACAATTCTCGCTGCAGCTGGGAAAAGAAAATATCTACATGTATGCTTAAACCCAGACAACTATCCAAAAAAAAAGGTATCCTTTGTGGGGAGAAGGAAGATGTGGAGTGGTGAGGGAGAGAGAAAATAGTTGTTCCATCATCTGCCCCAATTTCTCCCAAATGGAGGCTCGTGTGCTGGGAACGCATTCCCAGGCAGCACCAGCCTTTCCACCCCGACCGAGCTGGTCACCTGTCTCCAGGAAAGCCTTTAGCATTGCAAGGGACAGGTTTTATGGGCACACAGGGAGCACTCTACACGCTTGCCTCCAATCTTTGCAAAGGTCCTCGGGCCAGATGAGATCATCTGAACCACCTCCTTCAATGCTCCAGTCATGCCCAGCAAAGGGCACAGGAGAAGCACTCAGCCACTGAGAGATGCCACAGGCCTCCAGTCTGTGTACCAGAGAAGTAGCAGCTGAGGGGTTAGGACCAGGGCTTCATATGCAGGAAGACTCAAGTTCAAGTTGCTGGATCCAAGTAGATGGCGTGACCTTGGACAGTTAGTTAACTAGCTCTTTGGGCCTTGCTTTCCTCGTTGGTAAAAGACGAATAATAAAACCTTCCTTGTATGTTCAAAGGAGCAATGTATGTTGTATGATTAGCAGAGGGCCTGACACATAGTAGTTTCATAAATGTTAACTGTTGTTACTAATAAGTATTTATTAAATGCCACTGCGTTAGTCAGGGTGACCACAGAAATATACAGTCCCTGACCTCTACAACTTACAAAGAGGAGACAAGACTAATTCACACAAAATGATTAACCATCCCGTAGATGCTCAGTTGTGTGGTATGATGGGGGTTGAGAGAAGAGAGTGACAGGTGCAGACAGGTGCAGGGTGGAGATGTCCACGAGGGAAGGGTTGAGGATGGTTGGGGTCTTGACCATGGAAAGAAAGAAAAAGCTCCATGGAAGCTAGGAAAGGCTTGGAGGAGAGGAGCACCTGGTAAATGGAGGAGGGAGGACTCTGGAAGGAAACAGGAGCCACTGCTCACCTCACCTGGTCTACCCCAGCGGGGATCCAGGATCTTGTCTCAATGGTGAGGCAGATCCCCCCAAAGGAGTCATCTCATCTACCACCACCCAAGCGTTTTTCAAATCACAAGCCTCTAAAAACCAGCATTGAAGTTGGCAATGGCTGAATCGGCACTCCAGAGTGAAAGCTTTGCACAGGTTTCCCCACGGTGACTTTGAACTTCGCAAATGATACTGTGAATCGCTCATGCATTTCCAAGATAAATTGATGAAAACCCTTAGCTGAGTGTGGTGATAAAAATGAGCTGTTTGGGTTTCTCTTGTTCTCTGGCTATCCAGTTCCTATCTCCTCTGTGTGCGAAGTTTTCTACGGGGGCTAAATTTGGATAAATGCTAAAACTGCCTAATTAACTCATCCAAATTCTTCATTTGGGTATAGCATTGTAAGTTAAGAGTGTTTTGCAATTATATTCCTAAGGAGTTCTTGCTTTCTTTAATTAGCTTTGCAAACTATCAGCCCAGGATGAATTTTCATCCTGGGAAGAATTTCTTCCTTTATTTGCCCAATTTTGCCGCATTGCTCTTTCTCCTTAATCTGAGCACTCCTTTTCTTCAGTTGCCTCCTCTCTGCCCTGAGTCACTGATGGGAGATGAGAATGAAGTCTGCTGTTTTTGTCCTCTTGATGGGAAAAGTAAATTCCAGATGGGACTCCAGTTCAAAATGGCTCTCTTTTGGGACAGGAACACAAGAGCCATATTTCCTGGGGGACGCTATTGAATAGTAACCCTTCAGACTTCATAAACACTTTGTCAAAAGTATACAAAGATAACATAGTAACAATAGTAATTATTATTAGGCATGCGCCATTTTCAGAATTCACTGGAAGTTCCAAAGCTGCACCTGAGCTCGTGGGCACTTCAGCTGGCGAGGTTAGGGCAGCTGGGACTCACTGTCGCAACAGTCATAAATGCTCTGGTCACTGTGTCCCAAATGTCTATTGAGCTTAATAATGTCTGTCTACCCAGAGGGCAATAGAATGTTTGTGCCTGCGAGGCCACTGATATTTTAATTTTTTTCCAGAGAAATCTTGGCCTGAGGCCCCCAGAAACATTGCTTCATTGCCTGGCCTTATAAGAATTTGCTTGAGCTATTTTGTGGAGGCAAATTAACCCTGGTCCTAGAGTTTTTTCATGCAAAAGGGATAAATGAAAGTTTTTACTACTGAATAGGTCCCATTTGCCTGAGTCAATTACAACTACTGAAATGATCGGCTCTGTAATTCTGATTTTATGAAAATGAGGTCTTCACAGGTCCAGCTTGGGTAGGTCTATGCCTCAAAAAGGAGAAATTCCCTCTTCGTTCCTATGGCTGGGTTATTGGGCAGGGCCACCATTCTGTGAGTTAGCCTGTGATTAGTATTAACACATGAGCCTTTCTCATCAGGACTACGCCCTTCAGTTGTGTGATATTTGTGGTTACGCAAAGCGGTACCACCCTCCCATCTTGGTTTTTTAGTGATGTAAACAGAAGAATAAAACTACCCAACTTCCCATCCTCCCTATAGCTGAGGAGGACACTAAGAATCTAATCCTGACAAGATGACATTTCAAAGCTAAGGGAGTCTAGTTTTGGGGTCCTGAAGGGAATGTCCATTAAGAGGGAAACGCCTCAGATACCAAGCTCTTTCTTATTCCCAGTTGGCCCAAAGATGCACAATTGGAAAAGAAGAGTGGGATGGGAGAGGATGTCAAAGGACAAGAAGTAACATTGTTTTGACCAATAAAGCAAAGTCTGAACTCTACTGTTTGGCAAGTTAGGAAACTATTCCTTCCTTCTTAAAATTTGAGACTACTTGCTCGGAAAATAAACGTTTGTTCCTAGAAGATCTGTGGGTTTGAGGCAGCTGTCCCCTGCACAGTTACCCAGAGGACCAGGCTGAGAGCGCCCACACTGGCCCTGGACCGTGGGAATCCTGGAAGCTAAAAGTGACAGGGCCCCCTCCCTCAGCCAACAGTCTGCAGGTCTGGCAGTGCTAAAGGCCAGGGCTGACTGGCCTCTGAAGGCCTGGAGTAACTATTACAGTAAATAGTTCAGACTGGAGGAAATGCACTGCCTGGGAACAGGCATGGTCCTGGGCTCAGTTTCTATGGGTGGAATGGGGTCCCCCAAACGATGGGTGAAGGATGCCTGGGTAAGATGGGAAGAAGGATTTTTAATGTTTCCTCTTTCCCTACAGAGAGGCCTGCATTTGAAAGCAAGGAAGACAGATTAGGAATTGTGTGCACTTCAAAGGTCTTCTTGTAAAGATTTAATGCCTTAGGTGTTAACACATTAAAATAGGGGAAAGTCATGTGTATCGCACAACTTTTAAGTTATAACCTCCTGCTCGGTAGTTCCGTTAATGACCTCACCGCTTCGGGTGAAGTGTGCCTGCTTCTGCCTGCGAGGCGGTGGGATGGAGAACACAGGCCGGAGAGGAGAGAAGTGCCTGGGTTCCTTGGTGCAGGGAGC